TATTTTTTTTTTTTCATTGTGTCAGAATATAGATTTCGTATAAAGGTGGTAAACGTTGTAGGTAACTGCTATATGTACTCCCTGAAGTAGTATAATGCAATTTTAATATAGCTGTTATATTCGAAGGGTACCTACGTGAATATCATGTTATAAATTTATAATATATTTAGAATCGTAATATGTTACGATGGTTAAGTATACGAGTATATATATTAAAAATATTATAGCTTACATTACATGATATACATCACAGTTTAATATTAAATTGTATTTAAATAATATTTATAACGTTATAGTAACGAAAAACATATTCACTTTTAAAGTTTGATCTCGACTGTATTATTGTAGAAAATTATGTTCATACATTATTTTTTTCAATATTTTACTGAACGCGAATTATTGTAGCATGCAATTATTTAAATTTATTAACGTCGTATTAATGCGGGAGCAAATTCATTAGATTATTACCTATTTAGTAATATCGAAACTCTGAGTGAATAGCTAATTATTCGTCGGCTTTTGAATATATACTTATATATACTATTAGTGGATAAATAAAAAGTAACTTTATTAAAAGGACGCCGCAAGGGCAAAACAATAATATAAATAAAATCCTCTTAGACGCCCTAGATAATATTCTTGCGTTTAAAAATTATAGGAGGTACCTATAATCACTCAAATTTTAAAAATTGAGTAGGTAAAATGTAATATTGTGAACGTAACATTTACAATGTTATACGTATGTAAAACAGAAACAACAAATGCTCGTTTGGTGTCCATCGATCAACACTAAAATATACACGAAGCAAAAGTTCGATCAAAGATTATTTTGATAAATTAAATTCAAGTGTTTTATAATTACATTTAAGTAATATATTGTATAGATACTAAATCTCCAATTAGAATGATTAATAATAAATTCGGTATTAATATTGATTATAAGTAAAACAAAAAAAATCATCGATTTTATTTTTTTCCTGCTTTTAACCACATATAACGAGAAAAACTAGCTGGCTCTTGAAACTCGTTATAACCGATTTCTACTATAATAATACTACCTATCTAATACAGTATAATATTTCAAGCAGCCTAACCTAATGCGTCCAAGAATATTAATGAAGTCTTTTCGTAGGTAGATTTATTACTTAAGTTATTTTATAAATTTTAATGTTATATTTTAGGTATGTACTACATTTTCCAAACATTACTCTGCCACACGTAATTCGATTTGTTCGTAAGTTGCAAACGAATCGAAAAACCACATACGCCACATGATAATATTGTACAAGGTGACCCATTTAAGTGACATTATTCATAAAACTTTTATACCTGTTTGAATGTAAAAATAAAAATAAAAACTTAAAAATTATAACAATGTATTGTAATTTGTTTTTCAAAAATGTTGTTTTGAACATTTCAATTACATCAAATATTAAAACGTAAAAACTTTTCGAAATAATAAATGTATACACTTAAATGAATCACACTATATAATATATTGTAATTTACTGTCAGTGTCTGTCTGACTTATATGATTCGGCTTCTGCGGCACACAAATTTCCATTGCGTCGGACTCAGCGTGCAGTACATCATCATCATAAATGTGTTTAATATACGTATATAACTACATTTGTTATAATGAAGATGCAAAATAGATCATCGATGTAGCGTTAAAGTATTAGATATAATATTAACAAAGCAGCGGTGGTTGCCGAGTGATCGGATTTATTTCCCGTGTACAAATGTCAAAACTATTTTTCAGATTATTAATGCGGACAATAACTATACTTAATAGGTATATAGATTTGAGTGGTATAATAATAATAATAATAATAATAATGATATATGAACAACGTTTAGTTCATATAGCTTGGATAATACGGTTTAGAATATTTTTACGGGCATTACGAGGTTCATAAATAATATTTATATCGTTTCAAATATAGTTAAACCACCAGACCGCCGATCCTAATAAATTTTTATACCGGTTTCTTCGGTGGCAACTTTTCGACCGCGAACGCATCCGTCGGCGAATCCGGGAGGTTTTCTAAGCCCCAGTGAGATCACACCGTGCGTAATTTCTTTTTGTAAGAAATATGAATACATACGCTGACTGTGTAAAAAAGCCAAACTCGTCGATTTTTGTATACCGTAAAGAGGAAAAAATCTTCATAAAACAGCTTATGCTCTGTATATAATCCAATCAGCAGTCATCAACTTTTTGTCAAAGATAGAAACACTTTTTCTTATACCTATCCAGTATACCTAATAATAGTTCGAATAGTATATGGAAGGAAAAATAATTATCAATTATAAATGTTAACCTTAACTATACCTACCAATAAAATATTAGTTTTTTATGCATTATTTACTCATTAAACATTAGAAAACGATGTATCATTTATATAGGTACAAGTACCAACATTCAATGCTTCAATGTAAATTGTATTTAAAATTATTTATTGAATACAATTACTTGATAATGACAAGAATATTTAAATACCAGTAACTACTAAAACACTATACAACTCTGGTGTTAAAAGTATCAGAACAAGTATTTTTAGCGATATACATTTTTTTTTTAAATATGTTTTTATATAATTTCATTTATTTAACTTGTATTGGGTTTTTTATTTTCAAACTGGCCATTACCGGGTAACAAGTACAACTCATACTGCAATTGTAATAATATTATTCTGCCGTATCTCGAAACGAATTTTAATTTGTATCCATCCTTTGGTATGCATAATTTTGAAATTTTGGTTATTATTGAAATCTCTCGTAAAAAAGTTTTTTATTTTCAGAGTAGTATTTTTTAAGGTCTAATTTATCGATCACTCATTAGTATATATACCTATATTTAAAATGCATAATTATAATTAACTTGTTATACTCGACTTAATTAAGGTGCATAAAACCAATGCACATAAAACTGCTATCGTAAAGTCAATTTAAATACCTATCGTAGCTGCTTTGGTAAATCAAATGTAAGCCTGTGGTAAATTTATCGACTTTTTAACCAATTAATGTATCTTATTAAAAATATAACTTACTAAGAGACCACTTAAACACTTTACCAGGCGAATATTTACAACATACTTATCTAACAATATCTTGGTTGGTAGGTATAAAAGGTTATGCGTGAATATTAAATATTATTATAATTAAAAGTGTATTTTAATTTTAGACAGATCTTCAGAACAGTCATACATCGTATTATACGATCTAATTGGCCAATATATATAATCGTTAGGTAAAATTGAAATATCATAGTCATATACTGATTTCCACGTACATTTGACTTTTAAATACTATTTTCTTATCTTAAAAGTTGCTACTTAACTATATATGAAAAGAATAAATATCAATCATTCAATCATTCTAAAATCATGATTGACTTATTAATCAATTAAATAAGTATATAATGTAAATTGTTTTTTTTAATGTATGACATGATTTTTTTTTTTGCTTAAATAACAATTAATTAAACTAGTAAAATACCACATATACATCGAATTATTATGTCGTCATACATTTATCAATTTCCTAAAAATGTACGGTTAAAATAGAGAAGCTCCAATATCTTGTCCATATATATACTAAAACATAAAAATGCATATGATTGACTCCCGCACGCGTGCACGTCCGTTTGCGTATGTCCGTGAACCTATAAGTGTGTTTGTGTGTGTACCTAAATGGTTTATTTAAATTTCAAACGTACGAATGAACAGTATATTAACATAATCAAACGAGTTTTGGAAGAAGCGTCCGATTTCGTAACGKGGCGATTAGGATTCATTTCGTAATTCAATAATAGTATAATATAGCTTATTATGTCGTAATTATAATATGGACCTGCTATCACCTGTGTATATTATTACATATCTTATTAAGTATATTACGTGCCGTTCAATGCAATAATAATATTAAATTATCTCGCATTAACATGTAATAAATCAGGTAACAAGGAAAAATATGGTCCAGTGATCGTATTGTCGTAATGTTTTCAATAAACTAAGTACGTCGATTGATATAATAAAATAATATTTTTCATAAACGATTTTACAAAAACCTTGAGAGTTCAACAATTTTATTAGACCACATGGAAAACAAAAGGAAAATGTTGGGTGATACCACACCAAAATAATCCTCACTCTGGTCGAGCCACAGCATTACCACATATACAGAAATGCATATTTACCTTTCATCTAATCCCTAAGTCATCTCTTATGCGTATACGTTATGACCAGTACAAACAACACGCACGTCGATGAAGCGTTCGAGCGTACAATGACATGCATAGGACGTGGATAGGATAGGTACTTTTTAGTTTCAAAATGTACATTTCTTTGTAGGCTGGGAAACTTTTTATATTTTTTATTAATATTTGCAGATTATACGTTATAATAGCATTCGATTTTATATTTTTCACGATCCACCTCCCTTGAAACCTACTGACAAATTAATTCAATCTTAATATTTATGTTCTTTTTTTATTGTAGCACCCCCACTGCAGGGTGGCTTCTACGCTATGATTATATCTATCTATTTCTATTATTTTATTTTTATTTTTATTACTGTCTATTACCTCAGTTGTTCTTATTGTTCTTTTTTGAAACAG